TGGCTACTGCGTGCCAAAAGTGAAAGGAATGTCATTGTTGACCATGTAAATGTCACGCAGTAGTGAACTTTTTGGGACACGGTTGTTTCGCATGTGGCTTTCACCGCTTCATAAACTCGGCCACGTTTGACATGATATTTCTCTAAAAATGACAGAAAGAAAGAGACAAATATCCTCTTTTGTTCCCCTGAATTTCTTATGAAACAACATGGCTGTCCCGTGATGACTTCAGCTAGACAGACTTACAGAATTCGCCAGACTTCTGATGAAGGCCGTTACGATCCTCTCTCTCTTTCTCTCCCTCTCTTAGCAAAGATAGAAACTTTGCAATTATTTTTTCTACAATATGTAGTTGTTAAAAAAAAAACAGTCCTCACGCTGTATTGCATGCTGCTTCGATCCCCATTGTGGTTTACAGAAGCGTGGAACAATGTGAACGATGCCTACAATAGTGTCGGTTGATACGACGCTGCTGTGTTGATGCCCATTCAACTTCTCCCATTTCAATTTCTTGCATCTTGTTACGTGTTGCCGTTCACTGTCGACCTCCTTGTACCATTGCACAAATCCGCAGCTGTGTTCCATAATTTCGTTGTTCGTCGGTGCGGCCACGACAAAAAACATAGCTACTGATGCAAACCATGTGCATTCGTTCTCTGCTCTAATTGCGACGCCACTGTGCACTGGTCTCCCATGGAACTGTGGCGACGCTCTTGCAGTTTGAACAAGTGTGCCCCTGTTTGTTCCGTCCTGTACGCAGGCGATGGCCAGGTGTGTTCGTGCGTGTATAAGCAGGTCATCAGAAGGAGGTTGACAACCATTCTCCACCATGTAGATCGTAAGCGCTGCTCGGAAATCACGTCTGAAAGGAAGCTTTTCGAGTATCTTACACGCACGATTGTCAATGCCTTCTCCCTCCCGTATGTGCTCGTCATCGATATCGAACCACCGCAGTTGCAGGATTGCCGTATTGCGTAGTGCGAGGGTATTCATTCCCGTGGCCATGCAGTTTGTCACAGACGATCGGTTCTCGACCATTCTCTTTCTCCGTTTCCTCACGATCCCGGTCTCTTCTTGCAACGCCAACGACCGGCGTATGTGGTTCACCATCTGGGTTGAAGCTTTCCGCTTGTTTGATAACAGGTATGGCTGTTTGCAAAATTTTATGTGGTGATGCTTCCAAACGTCTGTTGCGAAGGTGTCAGGAACATCGGATCGCTCAATACACGTTCTCAGATGCATCAGATTATGCAACTTGGGGAGTTTCCATTCTGATGGTTGATATCTCCCCAATTTCGCTTTGATGGTCGTAATGAAGTCCGTCATCAAAGCGTCGCATTCATCGAGCGAAGCACGAGTGTGTGTTGTGCACCGAAACACTCGTACATACATTTCCATCAGTTTCACAAAACAAAGGGTGATGCCCTTGCCTGTCGAGCGCCGGATAATATTACAAATAAGGAACACGCACACTGTCATCACAGACCGGTTTTGCTTCGCCTCGAACCGACCCTCCCTCGAAAACAAATCGCTGCCAGTGGCCATCGGCAGCACAAGTTGGGGGTATGTTCGCGTGCATCTCTCACTAACGCTCTGCAACCTGGCATCTAGTTCCTTGAGGATCTCTGTTTGCGGTATGTTCGGCAACTTGTCAAACGCTACCGTTCTGAATGCGTCAATCATGTGCAGGAATATGCCATGCTCGATTATGTGCATACGGTCTGGCTGCAATGCCAGGTGGTAGTCTAGCTGAGCGTCGTCAGCATTGGGGCCCCTGTACACCCCCAAAGGCCGTTCTTTTGAACATGCCTATGCATGTTCAACTCTGACATTCGTCCTTCCGCGCACGTCGCACGTCGATGTCGTCGGATGTGAACACAGTTGCTGTGAGGTGTGTTTCGAGCGTCTGTGATCTCCTGCAGTCCGTGAAATCGGCTAGGACATCAAAGTCAGTTTTGGACACGGTGCATGTCGGGCATACGCCAAACTTCACAATCGCAAGCGCACATCGTTCTGGGTAGTCCTGTGTATAGTTGAGGAGGAAAGGGTGGACAGTTATGTCCCCGAATCACGTTGTCGGTATCATTATTCCGTCATGAGATGCCTCCTTCGCAGACTGCAACACCACTGTAAGGGCCTTGTGGAAAATGACGGCCTTTCGCTTTTTGAATGCGGTGGACTGTTGACCCCATCCTTTGTCACGTGGACGATGATGAAGCACAGGAAGATAGGCCAGCAGTGTGGCTTCGGATGCGTGGTCGGCTAGGGACATCATCAGAGGGTACGCCGTCTGTTTTTGACGACCGTCCGTGTGTGTCTTGTCAGAATAGAGCGACAGAGGGACAACATAACGTGGATTTCCATTCCCGTCCACACCTTTGTCTGCTCGAATGATCGACTGGATGTGATAACTTAGTGCCCCGCTGCGCGGGCCAGATATATTGAGGTCCTCTGACGGCGTGGACACCTCTACAGAAGACACCGTCTCGCATTTCTGTAATGCGATATTAAAAATCGACAGAAATGTGGTTCGCCAATCGCGGTGCCACAAGATGGCGTGCGCATCTCGTGGTCAGTCGTCGCTACGCAGATCCGACTCCTTCCATCCCGCAGCCTCTGTTAGACTGCCTGCCCATGTCAAACACTCTCGACTATTACGGTACGCAATGTCTGTCCTGCTGAATCTCGGGTCTTTGAGAAGTGACAAGAGAGCATCTATGTCACTCTGCGACATACCGACGCCGGCCCTGGCAGAGAAAATCAGTGTCGCAAGCTTGCGAGAACTGTCAAAAGACTCAGCAGGCGGCGGTTGCTGCTCTGCGAATGACCCGCCCTCCCCGTCTGTGTTCTCGGGGGCTCCGATGTCCTCGCTCTCATCGCTCACGAGATTCACTGCACGGTGCTTTGATTAACATTTTTTACATTGATTGAGGTCGTTCGAATTATAAGTTGCACAGCATATTTTGTTATATTTTGTAAGTGTTGCCCTTCCTCTTCTGTGTGTGAGAGAGAGAACGATGGAGTCTTGAATGCCGTTTTGGAAACAGATTGTCTTTGTCACTGATCCCGATTGACAAAGATTAGCAGTCAGACGTGTGACACGATAATGTATATGCCACGACAGGTTTCATGGTCTTGTTGGAAAAGGCAACGACTTGCACAAGGTACACGATATGTGACATGACATTCATCACCACGTTTGTGCGGCTGGTTAAGTTTGCAACTATCCATCCATAACGTTTGTGAATGTGGTCTTTCGTCTACCACAGCCGGGCATGCCCTCGCACGATGTGAATTCAAAGTTCGTAAGGACATGAAAGGCCTGCCACAGTCGCATACCCGTGGACCGCTGTCCATTTTCTGTGCATGCAGTCCATTCCAAAGACAAACAGAACGGTGCATAGGGGGTGTGATGTGTCTCACGTGCTACAGAAGGCAACAAATTATGACATACATTGTAACAATCATCAAATGATTGAAATAAAGTTGCACCCAATGTCTGGACGCTGTTGTGAACCGCATGTACTTGGAGAGGCAAACAACAGACAGCATGACACAGAACCTATAGACGGATGTACAGGTTGTACTATAGCTACAACGAGACATACGAGAGAGAGAGAGCGAGAGAGAGAGAGAGAGAGAGAAAGAGAGAGAGAGAGAAAGTGGTTCACTAATGCGGGCCAGAACGACAACAAACAACACCGGTGGATACTTATATGGCACACAGTAGTGAACCCGACCGTGGTTGAGGGATGTACAAGTTGAGGGTTATTTGTACAACTACTCCATTGCTATATGCTATGCATGTCTATCATCAGGTTGACTGCGAACTATGGCGTCTCCTGTTGAGAGATGTCGTGGCCGAGCACCAACTATGGCGTCTCCTGTTGACAAGCCGGGGTTCAATGTCTCTCCGCAAGTTATCGCCATTGCGCCGTGTATGAGGCAACTGAGGTTGATTCCTCATGTCAGTGACGTTGCTAGCACAGCTTCTCTGTTCACCAGAACAAACCATACCTTGCCAACACGTGACCACTTTTTCCCCTTGTTGCATGCTTGCATTATAGTGGTGACTGCGGCATACTGTAGAGCACCGTCAGGTGTTACCCCCTTCATCACAACACGCAACACATTGTGCGGATCGGGGAAAGCACGTGCCAACCTCAGAACTGCATGTGCCCAACCTTTTGACATTTGTCCACCTGCCCCCTTCAAATCATAGTAAACACCATCTTCCTCGTCTGCCTCGTCGCTGCTGACATCGCTGCCGCTCACCTCCACGTCAGAAGACGATGCCTCCTCATCCTCTTCTTCATCTTCTTCTATATCTT